TGACTTTCTATTTTGAATTGCTACTTTCAACTAGCAATTACCAACGTTTTGCATTTCTCTACCTTAACTTGACTCAAGGTAGGTCCAGTTGCCTAAATACAGGGCAGCCCTACGTGCTGGGGTCTTACCAACCATTTTGCTTGCTGATCTATGTTATTTTTAACGATCCATTTATTGACAGTAAACTAACGATAGTCATTGCTTTTCGGCTTATTTAGACACGTCTAACACACAATGACACGACAAACAGCCTGTACTTTGCCAAACCCGCTACCTATATCGCCATCTGCCAGTGGCAATAGCAGTGTAGACTACGCGGTAAATACGATGGAGCCGTTCCCTCACCCACCCTATCCTTCATCGTCTGAGCATCGTAGTGGCCTACTTACGCCAGGGACCGGCAGCGCCGCTGTATCTCCATCACTGACACCTTTCAGATCCAATACCACGATGTTGAACTGTAACGGAGATTATCGGGATAACACAATGTTACAAATGCCACCAGCAGCCCATATGCCAGCATCCAATTATGCCCCTTCCGTTGCTAATGATGGTGTTTATAAGAAACAACCGCATGTATCTGGACAAGAAATGGCCCATCACTACGCAGCGCATTCAGTGCCCAATTATAATGATGCAAATGCCACGGGATCATGTAATCCAGCCAATGCAGCTAAAAAGCCAAATCCATCTATACTGCCACCAATCACGGCTCTTTCATTGGGTAATGTTACACCAGGCACTGCAACACCTAGTAGCCGTCCATCGCCAACTGCCAACAAATATCCCGGCAACGATGGCAGTCATCAACATGCTACGCCAATGACCTACGGTACAGCACCTGGCCAATTGCCTTCACTAACTGCCGCTGCCAATGCGGCATTAGCCAGCGGTGCTATGAATGCAAATGGCTATGCACAGCCGCGTGTCCTTTCAGGCCAGTCGATTAGCTTAATTTCGGCATCTGCGCCAGTTACTCGTTGTTCATCGCCACGTCGTCGTAGTCCAGACTCGGATACAGCGACAGAGGAAAGCGGTATTGACGAAGCAATTCATAAAGCATTTCATCCTATGCATTCATCTAGCTTTCATAGCATGCACGATAGACATGACGAGCATAACATGTCATCCAGCATGAATAGACCATTGTCTGTGAATAATAGTAATGCTATAGGCCTCGGTATTACTACAGCCATAACACCAGCAACAGCAGCAACAGCAACGCCAACGTCCTATCGATCCGGTTTAATGAGCGTTCCTGTGAGTCCAACACATCGTAGCAATAAGTATGATGGTTATCAACATCGATGGGACCATTCAGCACATCATCCATATCCGATGACATCACGTCCACAAGGCCACTTGAGACATAACAGTTTTACTGATAGACGACCACAAGGATTAGCGCTTGAGTCTGGTGCCCTTTCGCTTGTTCATCCAAATGCAATCATGTCCACGTCATCTTCTACGAATGCTAATGCTGCCAATACACCTGCTTCCAGCAGTGGCCAGGTTCATCCAACTGCTTTACAACTATCCGCATCAGGCTCTTTTGCTCATAATACGTTATTCTCATCAAATATTCATGGCTCTCTTTCAGCACCAGCGACTTTAAAAATTATGCCTACTACCATCCCTACAGCACCAAGTAACAACGGTAACAATGCTATGGCTACGCTAGAACGGCTACGTCGCCGTCGTGAAAACCATAACCACGTAGAACGTCGTCGTCGTGACCACATTAACGGTACCATTCGTTCTCTTGCTGCCCTTTTGCCAGATCGTGGCCGAGGTGCTGATGGACAACGCCGTAATAAGGGAGCAATTCTGGAAAGTGCCGTTGATTGGTTAAGCGAAATTCAACGTGAAAATGCCATGCTAAGAGAAGAGAATATAATACTTCGTAAGCAATGCGGCCTAATAGGATCTAAAGAATCACCAACACATCAACATTCATTTATGACACCACCGCAACAACAACAACAGCAACAAGAACAGCAGTCACTACCAGACCATCATCATCAGCAACAACACCATCATCATGCAACAGCCATATATTCAATGGCTGTACCAACATCGCAAATGCCTATGCCTGTGGGTCTTATCGATCGGTCTATTTCAGCACCTGGCCCATTAATGCATACCACTTCATCATCTTCTATTGCCACTACAGCTATGGAGGATATTAAACCGCAATTACCAGGTCTGGCCACCTTATTTACAAACTAAAAAATTGGTAATTCAACGGTTTATTGGATAGTATTACTTGGTTATAGCTCCACTACTTTTGATACATCCTAGAGCCATTGAATGATCGTACTCTTGTTTTTTTCTCATATTATTATTATTATTTCATCTATTGGATTATAAACTTACTTTGTAGACACACAAACGATTTAATTATATTATAATTTATTATTAATAATGTAGTACTATAATAATTATATTATTATTACACATCTTTATTACTAACGATTTATTATAATCATATTGCTGTTATTACTAATAATTAGCCATATTTATTATTAAACACATATTATTATTAAACATTATACCATTGTTATTACACATTTTTATTACTATTAACTAGCAGTTTATTATTGTTACCAATTTATTAATGTTATTAGCCAATTTATTATTACCATATTACTATTATTATTATTTGTATAGTTCATTTACATTATAATGTATTCATTTAACGTGTATTCAATTTATTCGAGTCATTAGATACAGCTAAAACTGTGATGCATAAACAGTATGCCCGCTACTTGAATAACTTGCGTAATGACATGTTGGACTCGGCATCCTTCTTCATAACCTTGGCGACAGCCATTTCGAAGTCTTCCTGGCTTACATGGACACGACGTTCACGTAATGCATACATACCTGCTTCTGTACAGACCGCCTAGAGAACAGTAATAAAATACGTATTTAGTATTAGATAGCTGCAAAGTAATAGCACATGTTTTAACAGTACTGCTAGCTTACCTTAACTTCAGCACCGCTAGCACCGCCTAGTTTCTCGGCAATCTTTCGTAGATTAATACCGCGAGTCAAGTTCATTTTACGCGAATGAATTTTAAGAATATCGGCACGGGCTGCCTCGCTTGGGGGTGGAAACTCGATTTTACGATCAATACGGCCAGGACGCAATAAAGCCGGATCAAGAATGTCAATACGATTTGTAGCCATAATAACTTTGATGTTCTTGGTGGCTTCAAAGCCATCAAGCTGATTAAGCAGTTCAAGCATTGTGCGCTGCACTTCAGAATCACCACCACCACTGCCTGATTCAACACGGGATGAACCGATAGAATCGATTTCATCCATAAAGATAATGGAGGGTGCGTGCTCACGAGCCATAACAAACAGCTCACGCACCATACGTGAACCTTCGCCGATATATTTTTGTACCAGCTCAGATCCAGACACACGAATAAATTTACAATCAGTATGATGTGCCACTGCACGTGCCAATAGCGTTTTACCCGTGCCGGGTGGTCCATACAATAATACACCCTAAAAATAATAGTTGTCATTGGCATGGAATTGATTGCATTTATTTTATATATTCAATAAACACTTACCTTTGGCTGTGCAATACCTAGCGCTTCAAACAGTTCAGGATGTTTCACTGGAAGTTCAATCACTTCTTTAATTTCTTTAATCTGCTTATCTAGACCACCGATCATTTCGTAGGTTGAGTCTGGCACCTTCTCTACCATCATCAATGATACAAGTGGATCTACCTTTGTTGGTAGAATACGATGCAGTGTATACGAATCATTGCGCAATGCAATACGAAGATTGGGCGTGATTTTATTGATATCAATATCGCTGGCAATATCAACGATATATTTGCCTTCAGGTTGTACCTGGATTGCAGTTTAATAATAAAGTACATTGTTTAATAGCTATAAAAACCTACCTTAACCAGTACCTTCTTCTTGCCCATAACCTTGACTACTTCTCCAATATAAGAGCTTGGTTCCTGTAGCAATTGTAGCTCTTCACGCAATGACCGAACTAATAGCCTACGATTAGCTACATCTTTTCTCTCGCATCGTAAACATACCTTTAGAGTTGAGAGAATTGCGCTGTGCTTCAAGACGACGCAGATTCTGCGTCTTTTCATTGATGATGAGCTCGCATTCTTCGATTTTACTCTGATAGAATGCTTGGATTCCCTGTCGCACCATCTTGGGTCGAATTGGACGGATCGCCGACAGATCGTGTAGTATATTTAAAGTATAGTCAGCAGACTCTTGTGATGTATGGCAGACGTGGCGATTATTGCAACGATGAAGAAAAAGGATAAGCGATGTGCAAGCTAGCTATATGGACGGGTGATGAATAAAGCCACAATCCTGCGTCATCATCAGGTTATGATCTGGCCACCAAATTACCCAGATAAAAGTATTAATAACCGTGTAACTAGTTACTTATCGACTCAGCACCTATATAGACGTTAAGTAAAATAATGCTCATAGTTACAAATAAGCATTTAGCATTAAATGACAACGTGTTTATTGTAGTCTATACTACGGAATATGTATACATAAGGCCATTAAATAATGCTATAGTTCAGAATTATATGAATGCAAATAGATTATTTATTATAAATATAATACTTGGTTGATTAATTAATAGGCCATTAAGCAGCAGTATATTTATCAATAGTTTTTTTACTAGATTATTTCTCTACAGCTGCTGAAATAAGCAGGTTATTGTAACGCTATTGCGTTTATTTAAAATTAATCAATGTAATATGTGGATTAGTAAAAAGTGTATTAAATTCAAAATTTTATTAATAATAAATAAATACTATTAATTGTTTTGGCATAACTAAAAAGAACCTATTTTTATCATTAAGGCTATACCACAATAACCAAGATTTACTAAGGAATGTAATTAATCTACTTTAACTAAAAAATACCGCTAGCAATAATTAATAATTTAGATTTTGGAACAAATAATTATTTTGCTATAGTTTTTCTAAAGTCAGTGTGTCCGAGTGGTTAAGGAGTGTGACTCGAAATCACATGGGTTCTGCCCGCACAGGTTCAAATCCTGTCGCTGACGTATCTTTTTGCCACTTTATTTGATTAAATAACTTGCATGCGTTAAGTAGAAATAAAAAAGCTAGAAACTGATAATTAGCTTTGATGATGTAGAATAAAGCTATCATTTTATAGTAAATATATTTAATACTAAAGTATAGATTATTTGTAGTATTTTATTAATAATACAGCGTATCAATTAGTATAGTTGTTTATATTTTTACCGCTAACGTGTTTACTGGCTATATCTTTTTAATAGTTATTTGTTGTTATTGATTAGCATTGATATTTACTATAGGTATTATTATTGTTTGTTTAAATGTGATTTTAGCAGATTTGGCTAATCACACAATATATAAAAATGTCAATATAACGCCAGTTTACAAATCTGAATGTAAAATTATTGCGTCAATGCTATGGCAGTATGTAGGATTATTAAAATATAATTCTAATACAATTATATGATAAAAGACAATGAAACGTGAATTAAAATAATAAATATGCTTAATTAGTAAAATGTTGATAATATTACGTATAACTTTACGTATAATCAAGTAAATTGTCTGATATTTTGTACAGTTATGCATATGACATATAGGTAGCTATTGGCAAAGTATACCACTATTGTGTTGTGTGATGATGTAGTAATTGTAGTAATACGCTAATAAATGTACAAAAATAGCAGTTTTTTATTATTCATGCCCTATATAATTAAAATACGGCAAAATGATTATTGGATTCGAGTTCTCCATGCTTAGTTATACTGACTAGTATGATTTATAGAACAATGATTTTTGCACAAAATGTTAGTCAAAAATACAGTTTACGTATGTTTAATTTACTTAGTAAAACATTGATAATATTACGTATAACTTTACATATAATCAAGTAAATTGTCTGATATTTTGTACAAGTATGCGTATGACATATAGGTAGCTATTGGCAAAGTATACCGCTATTGTGTTGTGTGATGATGTAGTAATTGTAGTAATACGCTAATAAATGTACAAAAATAGCAGTTTTTTATTATTCATGCCCTATATAATTAAAATACGGCAAAATGATTATTGGATTCGAGTTCTCCATGCTTAGTTATACTGACTAGTATGATTTATAGAACAATGATTTTTGCACAAAATGTTAGTCAAAAATGTAATTTATGTAAGTATTTGTTAACAAAACTTTACTTTATATATATATGACATAAATTGCCATCATACATTAATGTTTATGCATATTAAGCTGCTGTTGTGCTTATTTTATTGCTGTGAATGCTTAGGTTTACTTTATATCATTTTTCACCTTTAATCGTTTTTCTGTTAACAAATACTTACATAAATTACATTTTTGGCCAACATTTTTTGCAAAAAATCATCGTTCTATAAACCATACTAGTCAGTATAACTAAGCATGGAGAACTCGAATCCAATAATCATTTTGCCGTATTTTAATTATATAGGGCATGAATAATAAAAAACTGCTATTTTGTACATTTATTAGCGTATTACTACAATTACTACATCATCACACAACACAATAGCGGTATACTTTGCCAATAGCTACCTATATGTCATACGCATACTTGTACAAAGTATCAGACAATTTACTTGATTATATGTAAAGTTATACGTAATATTATCAATGTTTTACTAAGTAAATTAAACATACGTAAACTGTATTTTTGACTAACATTTTGTGCAAAAATCATTGTTCTATAAATCATACCAATCGGTATAACTTAGCATGGAGAACTTGAATCCAATAATCATTTTGCCGTATTTTAATTATATAGGGCATGAATGATAAAAAACTGCTATTTTTGTACATTTATTAGCGTATTACTACAATTACTACATCATCACACAACACAATAGCGGTATACTTTGCCAATAGCTACCTATATGTCATATGTATACTCATGTAAAATGCCATACAATTTGCCTCGTTATACGTAAAATCATAAATAATAATAACAAAATTTTGGTGTTATACAAGTTATTTAGTTTACTATAGTTAAGCTGTGGTAATCAATGACCAATAAGTAATAAATTTATCATTGAATCAATACAACCGATCAACACATTGCATTATGAGCGTTAAGATAAGTGTTAATAAGCATAAAAAACTAACGTATAGAATAACGCCAGGATAATGTGTTGCTTAATAATCTAAGTTGCGATTTTTAAAATTAAAAATGTAACAATAGAGTTTTATATCTAACTGTTGTCCTTTAATACAATTATTACCATTGCTTTATTAAATATATAAAATAAAAAACAATCTTTTACACGCTATTGAATACGCCATCTAATTAGTACATAATGCGTTATTTGATACCTAATTAGTATTGTTGCATCGTTTTCTTTTCTAATTACTTTATTTCATATGCTATTTGTTATATTCACTTATCAAGCTATTGTGTAAGCTGCACCTCCTTGTACGTTGTCTCGGCTCACTTTAATTGTATTTGCAAATTTTAATGGCATATTCTTTATTTCAATTGTGCCACCATGCTTTAATCTGTCTTCAAGTACTAGGCATTTTACAAGCACTGCCGCTTTTTGTATAAATGGCCAACACATGTATATTTGCTAAATAGTTATACTTTAATTTTTAACAAGTTTATTAATAAATACAACAGTAATAGCACATTACAATGTATATCTACAACATCTTCTAATTTTATGGATACTCGCCTGAATGTCAGGCTTAAACACCGGATATATCAGCTAATATTAATTTCTTTCCTCCTTTATTTAATATCATATATATTGAATATTAACCATCATTGATTAGTAAAGTAGCTAAATTTCAACATGTACAACTGCGTCTCTTTAATACATTCAGCCACTTTGTTCTTCTCAAATTGTTTATCCCACTGTTTTAATTGATTTGATATTCGAACCTGTGACATGATAGTATTGGCTAGTACATAGTGCTACTGCCTGGTTGTATAGCACATTTATTTGTATGATGTGCGTGCGCATGTGTTACACTGTGCTAGTATATTTGGAAGGGGTAAACCCAAATCAATGGCAGTCGCAGGATAATAATATATTCAATGTTAAACGGCTATTCTCCGTTGCAGATCCAAGTAAATATACGGGATGGAAAACAGCATAAATAGAAAACTCAAACACAACTTCTCGTCCTATTTAGGAAAGCTGAATGCGACACTTTCTATTTACGAGTGCTACTGTTTATAGCCAAGTGAATATCCGAGAATTATTTAAACCACCGATAATGCTAAATTGTCCAAAACAAAAAACCTTACCATCCACGTTTTTAGTCCTTTTCTTTTCTTTACAACGCATAATTTTAGAACAATGGCTAACTATCATCATTTCCTGGACATCACACTAAGTGTATACATTTTTATTTTGATTGCATTCTCTACCACAAAGGTAGCATCATTTGCGCAAAATCCACAAAGTAAGTTGTATAAACATAGCATAGAATGCCAATTAAACAATTTGTAGATAATGGCAGACCAGTTACTTTTCTTGGCCAGCCTTTAGGAAAAATCAACGCCTTTGACCAAAAAACGCTTATAATCAACCGAGTTATAGTATCCAAGAATCTTCATAACACCGCCACATCATATTATAGAGGCATGCTATCCGTTACAAAATGCTTTGAGTGTAAAACATCTGATGGTAGAGATAACACTCTTTACACTGCTGTAGACTCTTTAAAAAGAAATTTTAAGGTAGGTAATATTAGTGTTATTAGTTCGCGACAACCAACCGTTGATTGTTGCCCTATAGACTTTAGACAGAGCAATGCTTAATCTGAGAGGTTCAAATGCGGATGGTCGACAGTTCCTTATGACTAGGTACCACGAATTTGCGTACAAAACTCATTATTGTTTTGTGCTGTCTTATGGCTCTGATGAAAATATTGAACAATACGCAAAGAGGCTACCAGAGTGGAGAAAAGCTGAGGTGCTACCAAGTATTTTTTTCCAGCTTGTGCGAGGTAAGTCCATTGTATTTATAAACACGTAGCATTGTTTAACACTATTCTTTATTAAGCTGTTGCCTACATGCATCGTGCTCTTCTAGTCCATAATGACATTAAAATTGAAAGTAAGTTAATAATTTTTTATCAGTATATCCATGCTAACGTCTTTACTTACAGATGTTTTAATTGATTCTTCCAATCCTGCAACGCCCAAGGTTGTACTGATTGATTACAAATTTGCAAGATTTTTATCGTATACAGCGCCCAATTTAGTAACTTTGGTCTCGTACTGTATCGGCACATCCAAGCATTTCCAATCAGAGTGTCTGAAAGGCAAGAAATACAACCCAATGAAAAAAGATGTTTGGGCAATTGGTGCTACTTTCTATGGACTATTATTCAGCAAAAATCTACTGACACCAAGCAACTTGGTTCGTTTTTATATGAGTCCTCGACTTTTTTTAAAATATCTGAGTATAACAAAAACATTCAAGATGGATCCAGCAACTAGAAAAACAATGCAGAATCTAATAGCCGAAGTAGCCAAGTTAATGGCCTACAAAGAGAAAAACCGACCCACTCCTCAGGAATACCTCAATCAAAATTGGCAAAATCCTATGTTTCGTTACGTAAATTAGTGTTGAATTTAAGAAATAAATTAGAATTGTAGTTAGCTGTATGTATTTATTCATTTAACTTTGAATGATAAATCATTATACACATTGTTATATAAACGGTTGCAGAATAGCTGATCAAATACTAACATAAAAGTATTCAATACTATAGCTAGTCTGCTAGTGCTTGAGCTGCTTTACAAGTAATATTTAAATATAGTGTAACAAACAATACCGTGTAACGTAACACGTTTACTACACATTCTGATCCAGCACAAAACTTATAATTAAAAAAAAGCATTACGTCCTGTATATATTATACCAAAAAGCATCATATTAACGCATGACATATCAAACAAACAAACAAACACAAGGCATATTTTAACATTCACAAGCGTAATAATATAAACAGCATGTATAATATTACAGATCTAGCCAATAAATT